TTTTAATATAAATAACATGCAGCTACAAGCCTACAAAATACCTACAAAATATGGCATGTATTATTATTTATATTATCTAACAAACGTACAACATATAGCAAGAACGCCAAGAACTGTTTGCGCCTGATTTAGAAGCAACCAAATATTCACACTAAAAAGAGGAGAATATTTACTGTGCAACATGGTTTTTATGATTTCGATGTCACAAATACCAAAAAAAGTTCTGATTGTTTTAAAATGTATTATTTCAAACTTGAATAACTTTTTTCGTATTTTTGATGTCGAAGTAATAAAAACGATGTGGTACTGTACCATTGGTACCGTAAATATCCTCCTCTTTATAGCTTGAAAATTGTACAGATATGTTATTAATTGATTTTTGCTGGATACCAACCCCTTTAAAAAATCGTTAGTACTTCACTATGCAKTTCAATGATATTACATCCTGGCATAACGACATGTCATGTATGAACTTTTATGTTTTATGTTACAGTTAAAGTGTCTACTTCTGTTATTTTATGAAATAACTATAGGTAGTTCATGAATTACCTTCAAATATTAGTATATAAGTATGAAATTATACATAAAATAGGCGGGTAAGTCGTGGATGTCGCTCTGCTGTACAGTAGGTTACAAGTGGGTAAGGATACTGTAATGGATGGAATTAAATTTAAATCCAATGATATTATATCATTGTATACGAAAAACGATTCTGAGTGAAGACGGTTTATCTGTCTATGATATATTATAGATTATTAAAAATTTTCAAATCTTAGATTTAAAAAGAAAAATTTTTATGAATTTCTAGTTTAAATAATTTGCGAATTTTCGTGATTTTCGTGATTTTTACATATGTTGTCAAACTTCAAATTTTGAATGCTTGTAAAAAAAAATTTTGCCAATATATTTATTTTATTTTCACCTGCTATTGTAAAAATATGTTAGGAGCCTCTTTTATTTTTCAACTGCAATTGTTACAATGTGTTAGAAGCCTTGTATTTAATTTTCAAGTTTTTCTGCCCAACAAATAAATTTTTATCGATATTTATAGAAAAAAAAACCAAAAAAGTTGAAAAATTAAAATGTTAGTAAACAGCTCAAAACAAATTTAAATATTTTGAAAATTTTATCAAATATAGAAAATTAGAAAATGCCTAAAAAAATTGTGACTAAGCATTTCTTGTATTTTTCAACTGCTATTGTAGCAATATGTTAAGAGCCTTGTATTAAATTTTCAAGCTATTCTGCCTAACAAATATGTTCGAGCGCGATTGACGTCATGGCGACGCTTCTATATTATTAAAGCTGCTATCCAGCCTCTACGTCGCGCGATCGGACGATGACGACAAATCATCCCCCTCCTTGTCATATTATATTGCCGGCCGATGTCCACGACTCTCACTCGTCTGGCCATCACCGTTTTTTGTTTTTCACCAGCCGCCGAACCTGGCGTGTCTCGTATTTCGTCTGCGGTTCTTTATACTTAGTTTTTTATTTTGGTGACCTCGTGGTCAACTGACCCGTGTTTCATTTTGCTGGTTTTTTATTATACCGAGGGGTGTAGTGGCAACTGTCGTAGTTCCGAGATAGTTGGAGTCAGACTTTGCTCACTACATTCCGGCTTTATTCGAGCGACTATCAAATTATCATTTGTCATCGTCATTATCTCAAAAGGCTGTCGCCGTTCCAGCCTGGACTCAACGGAGAAGCAACAGCTCAGGTTTCACCTTTC